TAGCTGAGACTACAGGTGCCTACCACCATGCCCAGCTGAATTAGTATTTTCAGTAGAGACCAGGTTTCACCACGTTGGCCAGGCTGGTCTTGAACTCCTGACCTCAGGTGATCTGACCGCCTCGGCCTCTCAAAGTGCTGGGATTACAGGCATGAGCCACTGTGCCCGGCCCTCATGAACCTTTAAATGCTCTTGTTCGCCATGACTCTGATCCTTTTCTCACTCTACATGTTCTTTCTTGGCAATATCATCCACTTTGAAATGTTGTCTCCCAAATCTACAGTTTTAGGCCAGAGCTCTCCTGAGGCAAAGACCTCAGTATTCAGCTGTCTGTTGGACCTCTTCACCTGCATGTTCCACAGCACCTCAAAGGAACATGACCAATATGGAACACAGTGTCTTCTTTCCCAAATCTATTCCTCCTGTTTTCTCCCCTGCCTTGGTAAATGGCCCCACATCCACCTAACCCCCAAGCCAGAAATCTAGGTGTTATTTTGAATTCCTTCTTCCTTACCCTGAATATTCAGCAGTTGTAATTGATTTGAATGAATTGGTTCCCGTCCGTACTCAGCAGTCTTCAGAGATTGTCGCAAGTGCGCGGGCAATCTCTGTTGAAGACTTAATGGCCCAGGTGATTCTCGGGGCTGCGACTTGCATAAGCACTGACAGGTCATTTGCACGTCTCCGGCGATTCACAGTCCATGTCTTCTTTTCTCCCTCACATAACAGGGACTCGTTACCATGTCCAGCTGCTTCATTGGGAACTACAGGGCTGCTCTTGCACTGCAGCACCCAGCCATCTTACTCGCTTTGCCTTCTGCCCTTCACCAACACAGCACGTCTGGAAAGAGAGCAGCCCTCTACCATACAAGCCAACCTGCCAGTGCCTTGATGTTGAACTTCCTGTCGCCAGGGAGTGGTGAAGAAAATACATCGAATTTCTTGTTTGTCTATTATAAATCTTAGATCTCTACAGGAACGGTGAGTACACCATGGTATATGCACAGGCGAGATGGCTCCACAGAACATGCCTTGAAGACCTACATATAGCACGCCAAAGTCACCGTCCTCGGCCTCTCAACCCAAGGCAGTAAGAAGTCGCGAACGAACAGTAAAGATTGGCTCATATGTATAGATATAGATAACCAGATGGCGGTGTCTATTTCAGACGTCCAGATTTGCATGGCCACTGGGCACGGCGGTTCGGTTGCACACCGCACTCGTTAACAGTGTGACCTCCAGCCACACCTCTCTCGGCGCATCGCAGCGCATGCGCAGAGTGTCGACGCTGCTGGTGAGAGGTTCATGAGCGATGTTGCTAAGGGAGGACGCCCCGTTGGTCCCAGACAGCGGCTAAGTTGAATGAGACCTCCTCATCTACAACTCCACCCAATACAAACATTAGTTGGGCAGGCCAGACGGGCGGATCACGAGGTCAAGGAGATCGAGACCATCCCTGGCTAACATGGTGACAACCCCGTCTCTACTAAAAATACAAAAAATTAGCCGGGTGGCGGTGGCGGGCACCTGTAGTCCCAGCCTACATGGGAGGCCTGAGCAGAAGAATGGCGTGAAACCCGGGAGGCAGAGCTTGCAAGGTGAGCCCCGAAGATTCTGCGCACTGCAGCTCCAGCCTCGGACGACAGAGCCAAGACTCCGTCCTCAAAAAAAAAAAAAAAATACCAAAAGATAGTCAGGTGTTGGTGAGATGCACATACCTGTAATCCCGGCTACAGGGATTGTCTGCCACTGCACTCGCCAAGCCTAAGCAATAAGAGTGAGACTCTGTCTCAAAAAAAAACAAACAAAAAAAAAAAAAAAG